TGTGCCTGGCCTGAAGTGTATTTTCAACAGAGGAAGGACATTATCAGGTTTGAATTTATAAAAGATAATTTCATCTTTTTCATCTAAGCTATATCTAGACTTAGATGTCCAAGGTTGGGTTGAGAATCAGAGTGGATGCATTGTATAATCAATTAAGAAAACACTGTCATTGTCTAGGTTAAGGGTATTGGTATTTTAGACTAAGGTAGTAGCAATGCCTGAGATGGGAAGGCTTAGACATACGTGAGAGAGATTTAGGAGTTCAAGTTCACAGTTCATACTGATGACTGGGCAAGAGGTGAGAAAGAGGGAAGGGCCAAGGACAATGCCTCATCTTCTGGCTGGACTGCATAAGCACTGACTGGCACAGGACCAGGTTTGGAGGGAAGAACTTGAGTTCATTTTTGGGCTTGCGGATTTTGAGGTGGCTTTGAGAAGTGTATGTGGATGCAAAGCTGTGTGGTTGGGAGCATAGGCCTGGTCTGGAAATAGAAATTTGGAAATGTTTGGAACGTGGATGGTAACTGAAGCCAGGGAGATGAAGGAGCTCGCTGGAGAGACTGGAATGAGAAGAGAGGGATGTAGAGACTGAATCTCAAGGAATTCCAGCCTTTAAAGTCCAGGCAGGGCAGAGAAGCCAACACAAGGGTACCTGAGTAAGAGGGAGGATCAGAGGGCTGGGGGGAAACCAGTAGAGTGTGACTGATGTCCCCCTAGCCTCGGGCAGTGGTCAGTCCTTCTATTGTTTTGTGTGTTTTTCTTTCTTTCTTTCTTTTTTTTTTTTGAGAGACAGTCGTGCTCTATCACTCAGGCTGGAGTGCAGTGGCATGATCTTGGCTCATTGCCACCCGTGCCTCCTGGGTTCAAGCGATTCTCCTGCCTCAGCCTCCCGAGTAGCTGGGACTACAAGCATGTGCCACTGCATCTGGCTAATTTTTTCATATTTTTAGTAGAGATGGGACTTTGCCATGTTCGCCAAGTTAATCTCAAACTCCTGATCTCAAGTGATCCACCCACCTTGGCTTCCCAAGGTGCTGGGATTACAGGCATAAGCCACCATGCCCGGCCCCAAATACTGGTATTAATGTCAACCAGAATGAGGACTGACATTTATGTTACATTGCATCATATATGGATGCATAGAAGAACACTTATAGGCCCAGTTGGAGCTATTTTGGAGATGTGAAATGGAGTCCAGAGTTGTTGAGCAAGGCCTGGGAAGACAGGTGTGAGAAGAGAAGCAAGCCGCGTGGGTACGGGAGGGTTACAAAAGAGTGACTTATGTAGTTATCTTACTCAGCTCAGGCCACCGTTATAAAAAATTACCATAGACTGAGTAGCCTAAACAACAAATATTTGTCTGGGAGGTCCAAGATCAAGGTGCCAGCAGAGCCAGTGGCACCTGCTTCTTGGTTTGCAGGTGGCTGCTTCTTGGTTGGATCCTGCTTTTTGGTTTGCAGATAGCTGTCTTCTCCTATGTTCTCACATGGCAAGATCAGAGAGAGAGAGCAAGCTCCCTTTTGTCTCTTCTTATAGAGGCATAATGCCATCATGAGGGCTCTACTCTCATAACCTAATTACCTCCCAAAAGCCCCACTTGCAATGTTATCACATTAGAGACTAGAGATTCATCATATGTAATTAGTAGGGATGACTGGGCACGGTGGCTCACGCCTGGAATCTCAGCATTTTGCTTTTCTTTCTTTCTTTCTTCTTTTTTTTTTTAAAAGATGGGGTTTCACCATGATGGCCAGGCTGGTCTTGAACTCCTGACCTCAGGTGATCCACCCACCTCAGCCTCCCAAAGGTCCAGGATTACAGGCGTGAGCCACCGCGCCCAGCTGGAATCCCAGCATTTTGGGAGGCCAAGGCGAGTGGGTTACTTGAGGTCAGGAGTTTGAGACCAGCCTGACCAACATGGTGAAACCCCATCTTTACCAAAAATACAAAAATTAGCTTGGCGTGGTGGCACATCCCTGTAATCCCAGCTACTGTGGAGGCCGAGGCAGGAGAATCACTTAAACGGAGGAGGCGGAGGTTGCAGTGAGCTGAGATTGCACCATTGCACTCCAGTCTGGGCAGCAAGAGCGAAACTCTGTCCCCACCAAAAAAAAAAAAATTAGCGGGGACACAAACACTCAGTTCACAGCACTAGTCTTCTTCTTAGCACAGAAGTGGAATAATGCCATTAGGAAAGAAATACTAGCCTTTTCAGAAAAGCAGAGTAGAACAGGGTCAGTCAGTTGTAACCGCTTTTCAAGATTGCCAACTTGAATGCAGTCTGCTAATCGTAGAGTTTTGGATTGTATTTCCAATTTTTTTTTTTTTTTTTCTAATTACTAGGAGAAAATGCATCTTGTTTACTTCTGAAGCAGATCCTCCTCTTAGAAATTGCACGTGTGATGGCACCTGACAGCTGCATCTGTCTGTCTGACAACTTCGCTGTGGTACTTCACAGAAGTCTATGATTTCAAATGAGCTGGTTTCCTTTTGTGTAGGTTTGTTTATTTTTCTTTTCCCTTTTTTTTTTTTTAAATTTCTAGGCTGATGAGCCCTGAAAACACACTTCTCCAGCCCAGGGAGGAAGAAGGGGTCAAGTATGAGCGTACCTTCATGGCATCTGAATTCCTGGACTGGCTGGTTCAGGAAGGTGAGGCCACTACGAGGAAAGAGGCAGAGCAGCTTTGCCACCGGCTTATGGAGCATGGCATCATCCAGCATGGTGAGTGTATCGGGCAGGTTTTGCTGCAGTAACAAACAGCCCCAAATCTTGTGTCTTACAACAGCAAGCACTTATTTCTCACTCATGAATCTGTAAGTCAGCTGCACCTCTGCTTATGCTCAGCTTGTCTCCAAGCTGGGGGTCAAATTCAGGTCTGTGCTCCATGCCTTCCCATTCTGGGACATGGACTAAAGGAATATCCGCTGTCCGTGATGCGTTGTTTTTACAGATGACTGCAGATGCTAAAAAGGGCAGGCAGATTCTTATAGCATCTCCAAAAGCTGCTGCTTGGATGTAATGTAACACCACAGCTCTGTATCTAACTGGCTAAAGCAAATCAGGAAATCACATATAATACAGACTTGGGAATAGGTGTCTCCTAGAAGGTTGGTTGTTAGAGGAAAATGAACATTTCCTGAACCTTGATGTAAGCTGCCACAGTGAAGAGTTAACCCAAAGAGCCTTCATATAAGTGTCACTTTCCTTTTAGGGCTGAATCATAATGATGCAATGTGAGTTACTGGTTAAGAAGTGCTTTACAGTCAGCCCTCTGTATCTGTGGGTTCTGCATCTGTATATTTAACCAACCACAAATTTAAAGTCTTTGGGAAAAAATTGTGTCCAAACTGCACACATATAGACATTTTTTCTCATCATTATTCCCTAAACAGTACAATATAGCAACTACTTACACAGCATTTACATTGTATTGGGTATTATAAGTAATCTAGAGGTCATCTGAAGTATACAAAAGGATATGCATAGGTTTTATGTGTAAGGACCAAGAGAACGCTTTCTGCTTTGCCCTCTGAAGGTCTGCTGAAAATCACTGACAAGAGGCAGATTTGTTTTGTTTTGTTTAAGAGAGTCTCCCTCCGTTGCCCGGGCTGGACTGCAGAGGCACAATCTCAGCTCACTGCAACCTTCACCTCCCGGGTTCAAGCAATTCTCATGCCTCAGCCTCCTGAGTAGCTGGAATTACAGTGGGATTACAGGCGCACACCACCAGCTACCACGCCCTACTAATTTTTGCATTTTTAGGGGAGAGATTTGCCATGTTGGCCAGACTGGCCTCTTAACTCCTGGCCTCAAGTGATGCACCCACCTCGGCCTCCCAAAGAGCTGCCATTACAAGCATGAATCACCATGCCTGGCCCAAGAGGCGGATTAATAGGCAAAAAGGCATACAAATTCATTGTCATGTATGGGAGCCTTCAGAATGAAAACCCAAAGATACAGGGAAAATTGCCCATCGTTATGCTTAGGCTCAACAGAGTATGGACAGTTGTGTAGAAATATGATTGGACAAAAAGGGTGTGATCTAAAGTTAGTGGACTGAGTAGAGAAGCCCAACAAGACTGATCTATATAGATTCTTTTTGGCCTCTATGCAGCATTCATTCCTTCTGGGTGTGAGGATGGTGTCTCTCTCTGTCACCCAGGCTAGAGTGTGGTGGTGTGATCTTGGCTCACTACAACCTCCACCTCCCAGGTTCAAGTGATCCTCCTGCCTCAGCCTACTGAGTAGCTGGGATTACAGACAGGCACCACAGCACCCAGCTAATTTTTGTATTTTTTAGAAGAGACAGGGTTTCACCATATTGGCCAGGCTGGTCTCGAACTCCTGACCTCAAGTGATCCACCTGCCTCAGCCCCCCAAAGTGCTGGGATTACAGGTATAAGACACCGCAGTCAGCTTGGAACGGGAGTCTCATGACCTACAGTTAAACAATGTAGGTAAGACAATTTCTTTATGGCCTGTTTTGACACAGAAAGGCAGAGGGAAAGTTAGGGTAATAGTTTAAGATTTCCTGACTGGCTTTGAGGAAATGGGGTTCTGGTTTCTGACACACATTAGGGAAGAGAGATCCCAGTTTTTATGGCTAGCCTTGTGGGGAAATGGGACCGAGAGACAGGAGGGCAGGACAAAGTCAGAGAAACATTTGTTTTTGAGGCTGCTTCTGAGAACTTCATTCTGGGGTATTGTTTTCTGAGTCCCATCACATGCAAAATACTACACCATTTTATATCAGGGACTTGAGCATCCTTGGATTTTGGTATCCGAAGGAGGTCCTAGAACCAATCCCCCACGGATACTGAGAGACAATTATAGTTATCTTTTCCTGCATAACAAATTACCCCAAAACATAATGTTGCAGAACAATCCATATTTGTTATTTCACGCAGTTTCTGTGGGTCGAGAATTTGAGAGAAGCCTAGCTGGGTTGTTCTGGCTTGGCATCACTCATGAGGTTGCAGTCAAGATGTTGGCCGGAACTACAGTCATCTGAAGACTTGATAGGCTGGTGCACTCACGTCCACAGGGCTCACTTGTTGCCTAACAAGTTGGCACTGGCTGTTGGCAGGAGTCTTCAATCCATTGCTATAGGGACTTCTTCATAAGACTGCTTGAGAATTCTTATGACATGGCAACCTGGCTTCTTCCAGAGACAGTGACCCAAGAGAGTGAAAGACAGTTGCCACAATGTTATTTTCTAACTGAGCCTTGGAAGCCACACACTCTCGTTTCCTCAATAATCTGCTGGGGACAAGGTCAGTCTTGTTCAGTGTGGAAGAGGCTACACAAGACACAAATACCATGAGGCAGGGGTCGCTGGAGCCATCTTGGAGGCTTGCTCTCATGAGATCATAGCCTCTGGAGCCCAGCTTCACTAGTTATTAGACACTTACCTTCTCTCATCTGTAAAATGGGGATAACCTCATAGGGTGGCTATAGAAGTAACTGGGTTGGACCTAAAGTACTTGGTTCAGTATCCTGCCCATAGTAAGTGCTTCATCAATTTAATGAATATAGTTGCAAGGTATAGGCTTGAGACATGAGGAAAGGGCTGGGAACCCCGCAGGCATTTCAGTCTTAGTATGAAAGTCAGTATGAGTCATTCATGCTGAGAGCACCCTCCCCTAGACTTTCCCACCCAGCCTAAGACTTTTAGCCCAAGGGTTCAGAACTTTAAATAAATTAGATGAGGCTCTTACTACTCAAAGTATGGTCCATGAGACCAGCAGTGTCACCTGGGAGCATGACAGACATGCGGAATCTCTGACCATACCTAAATCCTACTGAATCCAAGTGCTAAGATCCCCAAGTGATTTAAATGCACAATTAAGTTTGAGAATCACTGGACTAGATTTAACTAGATTAGAAAAGATCAGAGCATATTTTATGTAGTAAGAATAGATTAAGTTGGTAGGGTGCAGTAGCTCACGCTTGTAATCCCATCACTTTGGGAAGCTGAGGCAGGCAGATCACCTGAGGTCAGGAGTTCGAGAGCAGCCTGGTCAAAATGGTGAAACCACATCTGTACTAAAAATACAAAAAATTAGCCAGGCATAGTGGCATGTGCCTGTAGTCCCAGCTACTCAGGAGGCTGAGGCAAGAGAATTGCTTGAACCTGGGAGGCGGAGGTTACGGTGAGCCAAGATTGTGCTGCTGCACTCCAGCCTGGGTGACAGGGCGAGACTCCATCTCAAAAAAAAAAAAAAAAAAAAAAAAAAAAAAAAAAAAAAAGAACAGAATAAGTATTGTTTTACAAAACTTTTATTTCATTTAGAGATATACTATAAAACATAGGGGCATATGTAGGTATATATTGGGTTACAACCTAAAAATTATTTGTTATTGTGCATTGGGGTCAAATATTTAGGCAGCCATGGATCTAAAGACATTGCTTAGCATGAGTGACACTGTATTGCAGGCTGCTTTCTCCTGTGCAGTTCTGCCACAGTTGGACGTACAGCTGTCTGCTGGTGACCTAACATGTCTAGCTCTGGTTTAAGTTCACTGAGGAACGGAAGACGGACAGGAATGCACAGTGCTGGTGTGGTCCCTGACCTTAAACAGTTCATAGTATTGTCAGGACTATGAGATTGCAGAAGCAATTAGAGAACAGTAGAAGATGTGCTGTCTATTTCATTTATTTATTTTATACTATGTGCCAGGCACTGTGCTAATCCTTTTACCCTTATTAACTTAATAAACTATGAGGTAGATATCCTTTTATAAATTTTTTGAGACAGAGACTTGCTCTATCACTCAGGCTGGAGTACAGTGGCATGATCTTGGCT